AACTGTTTAGTCACTATGGTAGAGTCTAAAACATATTTATAGGATGACTTAAAAAAACAAGAAAAGGAGTTGAAGAAATTGTATAGTAGGTGGGAAGGGGCTGACTTTCAAGAGTTAGCTCTGAACAGGACTCATTGACTTTGGACAAGACCTCTTGCCCTGAGATTAGAGATTTAAGAATGGCGGTGAGGGCAATGCTAAATGTTAGATTTACCAGTTCTAGAACAGGAAACATAAAGAACTTTCTATTTTATCTATTGTGATAAGGCAATGTAATCAACTGAAACTCTGGGGTAGATTGGGTAGCTTCAGGCAAGCATGCTTGAATCACTTGTGTGATAAAGGTAAGGAAAATTGTCATTCTAACCAAAACATTTTTAAAGAAATCCTTCTAACATTAAGCCACAAAAATTTCATCTCCTTCTCTCTTTGATCAGTCATAAAGCTGTAGAGTGTTAAACTTAAAAAAAGGCTTTGGAAATCATCTGGTCAAACCTTTAAGTAAGTTGTGACGCTGAGATAAAGAAAAATTAAATGATAGTTTAGGATTTACCTAGTTTGCTGGGAATTGAATCCAGGTATTCAGATTCCAAAGCTGATGTTCATTCTAATATAGTTCTATCCTCTCAGGAAACTTCTAGCTTTCCTTCCCTTAAAAAAAAAAAAAGTACTTCTGATCCCTTTTTGTCTGGTTAAATTGTATATAATGATATGCAACTATATATGACTTTACTACAATTATGAGCTAAGTTCTTAAGTCTCTCTAATGTTTTGTAGCTTTGCCAACTACCTTAAAAGATTATAGCAGAGCAGAGTATCTAAGTAGAAATTTAACAGCATGTTTTCTTAAGCTTATTTTAGGCTCATTGACTATGCAAAATGACATTTATACCTTTGCTAGTATAATTATTAGAGATGTTTTTCTAGATGTATGAGTGAAACATTTACTTATATTTTAATGGATTAGATATTACATTTACCTAGTTAAGTAAATGCATTATATTTGGTTTGATTATGATTATAAATTATATAGAAAATTAATGGTGGTTCTATACATATTTAATATTGGTTAAAGCACCACCAAAACTTAATTTTACTAAAACTATGCATTATATATTAAAACTTTGCAATTACAGTTTCCTATTTAAAATATAAAATGCTTTTTTAAAATTTTAAAACAATTCAGGGTTAGGTACATAAGTGGTCATTATACAGGTAAAGTTTGGTACCCTTACTGATGTTATGTGCCCCCCACTTCCTCCCCGGCAATGTCCTGCTACTGCCAATCCCTTTCTTACAGCATTATGATAAATGTTCAGGTTCTATTTATGAATGAGTACCTGTAGTACTCAGATCTTTGTTTCTGTAATTGTTCACTGAGTATTATAGACTCTAATTCTATCCAACTTGCTGCGAAGTTCATAATTTTGCTTTTCTTTATGGCTGCATAATAGGCCATCATGTAAACTTACCACATTTTCTTTTTCCAGTCCACTTTCAATGGGCAGCATGGTTAGTTCCACGTTTTTGCTAGTGTGAATAATGCTGCAATAAACATGCGTATGTAGCTATCCTTTTTATACAGTGATTTGAGTTCCTCCGGGTATATTCCCAGAAGGGGGATTGCTGGATCATACGGGAGGTTGATTTTTGGATCTTTTAGAAATCACCACCCTATTTTCCATAGAGGTTATACTAGTTTACACTCTCATTAACAGTGCAGAAGTGTTCCCTTTTTCCCACAACCTCTCCAGCATCTGTTTTTTGTTTTGTTTTGTTTTGTGTGTTTCTTTGAGTTATTGATGATGGCTGGCATCCTGACTGGAGTTAGGTGGTTATCTCAGTATGGTTTTAATTTGCATTTCTTTGATGATAAGTGAGGCTGAGCATTTTTTCATGTATCTGTAGGCTGATCGCATGTCTTCTTCTGAGAAGTGTCTATTCATATCTTTGGCTCATTTTTTTTTTAATAGGATTTTTTTTCTCCTTTCAGCACGTTTGAGTTTCTCATAGATTGGTTGTTAGGACTTTGTCACATTTACAGTTGGCAAATATTTTTTTTCCCATTTTGTGGGCTGTCTCCCCACTTTCTTGATCATTACTTTTGATTTGCAGAAGCTTTTTGGTTTGATGAGGTCCCATTTATTTATCTTAAATTTTATGGCATTCACTTTTGGAGAGTTGATAAGGAATTGGTTGCCTATTCTACTTTCTGTAAGGGTTTTTCCTTTGTTTTCTTCTAGGATTCTTACAGTTTGAGTTTTTACATTTAGGTCTTTGATCCCTTTAAAGTTGATTTTTGTTTATGGTGATAGGTAGGGGTCCTGATTCAGTCTCCTGCATGTGGTCAGCCAGTTTTCCCATCACCATTTACTGAGTAGCTTCTCCTCTCCCCAGTGATTGTTGATGGAGGCTGTGTCAAAGATGAGTTGGTTGAGATGAGGTTTTGCTTCCAGAGTCTCTATGCTGTTCCATTGGTCTATATGCCTGTTCTTATACCAAGCTGTTTTGAGTATTGATGCTTTATAGTAGAGTTTGAACTCCACTTTGTTTCTTTTGCTAAGAATTGTTTTGGCTATTCGTGGTCTTTTATGTCATCATATGGATGTCTGTATTGTCATTTCCAGGTCTGAGAAGAACGATGTTGGTAATTTAATGGGTATTGTTTTTTTATTTTTGGTTTTGGGGAGGTTTCTTGAGTTGGAGTCTCACTCTGTCACCCAGACTGGAGTGCAGTGGCCACTCCCAGTCACCACAGCCTCGACCTGCTGGGCTCCGACTATCCTTCCACCTCAGTCTTCCAAGTACCTGGAACTACAGGCACGTGCTACCATGCCTGGCTAATTTTTGACTTATTGTAGAGATGAGGTCTCGCCAAGTTGCCCAGGCGGGTCACAAACCCGCGGGCTCTGGCAATTCACTCACCTCAGTCTCCCAAAGTGCTGGGATTACAGGCTGAGCCACCGAGAAGCGTCCTCTCCACAGTTCCCACTGATAGTGCCCTGCCCACTGCTGCAGGTGGTGGAATGGGCCAGGTGCCAGGTGCTGAGGAGCTGCTGATCTCTGCTGCCTCCTCCCAAGAGACCTCCGAGGACAGCAGATGATCCTGTTCACTAGGAACTCTGATCTCATGGCATGGTGGATTGCGGCCACCTCTACAGGGGAGCCCCACGTGCTGGATCCTGAGTCTACCCTCAGACGGACTTTCACTCACCCCTAGAATGTTGTTCAAAGCCAAAGAGAATAGTAACTTTTTAAGTACAGTTATATTTTAAAGTAAATGTGACAATTATATATATAATCACTGTAATGCTACAAGGTGTTTTTAACAATCCATTGTCATATAGGGCTTTCTTTTAGATGTTTTAAATTTTTGCTATTTTGCTCATTAATGAATAATTAATTCCACTGGAGAATGCCAGTATTTCAGAAATGTATGAGGGTTTAAAAATCATTCCGTACACATGCACTGTTTGGCAATTTGTATTTTAAACGTAAACTTATGTATTGAGCAACTTTTCATTTCAATGCAAATGTATTGATCATACACAGTCACCCATGGTATGCACATATCATAATGTATTATTAAATCCTCCATGAAGCACTTTTGAATTTGTTTCCAGTATACTGCTGTTGTTAAAGCTTAATTGAGCACTGTAAGCTCAAAATTGTACACTTAGGTTGATATCATTCACCATCAAAATGAAAGAGAAGACTCAGATTCATGAACATTAACATTTTAAATATTTTTTGCCACCTTACTAGCTAAAAGACTTTACTATGTAGACTATTTCCCTCAACAGGTAAAAAACTTGTTTCTCCTCATCCCTGCTCAACCTGGACATCTTCACTGAATTTTTTTCTTTGCCTATCTTTCATGGAAAAATGCAATAACTCACGTTAATTTACTATCAGTTAACTTTAAATGATATTTGAGCATCCTTTACATATATATGGCATATATTATTTTACTTTTGTAAATTACCTGATGATGTAATTATCTGTCTTTCTTTTTTTTTTTTTTTTTTTTTGAGTTGGAGTCTTACTCTGTCGCCCAGACTGGAGTGCAGTGGCCGCTTCCAGTCACTGCAGCCTCGACCTGCTGGACTCCGGCGATCCTTCCACCTCAGCCTTTTGAGTAGCCGGAATTACAGGCGCTCACTACCATGCCCAGCTGATTTTTGATTTATTGTAGAGAGGAGGTCTCACTGCCCAGACAGGTCTCGAACCCGCGGGCTCAGGCAATCCACTCACCTCAGCCTCCCAAAGGCACGGGATTGCAGGCTGAGCCACCGAGCCCGACTGCATTTTTAATTTTTTATGTGTAAGAGTTTTCTCTAGATATATGATTAGTAACTGCTTAGGATATTTGAAATCATAATAGTACCAAGTGCACAAAGAACGACTACTGCTAAGCGTGCAATAAGAATACTTTTCCAACTGAAACGTATTATTTTTAAATACTATTTTTCACCCTGAACATTTACCATAATACTATAAGAAAGAATTGACAGTAGCTGGATACTGCCAGAGAAATGGGGACATATAACATTAATGAAGGTACCTGATCTCAAACCAAGTGAAGTGGAGACCACAGTAGGCCCAAACTTTACCTGTACAATAACCACTTGCATAACTAATCCTGAATTGTACCCCACATCTTGAAAGTAAAAAAGATAAAATAAAATTTTTAGAAATTACTATTTTTCCCTATTTGCAGAAAAGCATTGTCACATAAAACAACTAAATTATTATCATGGAGCAATCTGTTAAGTTTATTAAATATGCCAAGTAAATAATTATACTTTATTTTCACATTTATGTAAAATTAAGTGTATACAGTGCTCATGAGTTATTTTTCTTATTCCTCTGAGTATTTGACTTCTTGCTTTGTCTTTACTATCTAAATTTTCTATTATTTAAAGTTTGCTCAATAATTATATAATGGTAACGTTTTATCATCATCGATAATCATATTTTGCTTATTTGTTTTATGAAAGGTCTATGCCAGAAAAGAAGCCTTGAAGGGAGGTTTGGATAAAACTGTAAGTCTTCAGAAAGATCTATCAGAAATGCATGAATGGATGACACAAGCTGAAGAGGAATATCTGGAGAGAGATTTTGAATATAAAACTCCAGATGAATTACAGGCAGCAGTTGAAGAGATGAAGGTAAAATAACCAACTAAAACATAGCAAAGAAAAAGAAAAGGAAAGAAGTGTAATAGTGTTGCTTGAGATTATGGTTCTGCACAGTCTGCTCTTTTCTGGGTTTAATAGTAGAGGTTCATTTTTAATTAATTTAACTTCAAACTTATACATTATTAAAATCTTAAACTGTTTACTAATTTTAATGCAGTGTGGTCAAAATATATATACTGACGATCACAGTTTGAAGCATTACTCCCTTGAACTCATGTAGTATTAAGAAAGTAGAATCAACTGATCACATTAGCTTTTTCTAGCTGATGCAAATTTAAGTTGAAATTGTAAGAACGTATTCTTGAAAAGACAATCTATGATGTCGTCAACAGGCTATGTTAATTTAGTAGTTTAATGAGGTTCCTTTTAATTTGGAAGTAATAATATTTTAACTGGTGGCCTGTAACATAAATAAAAAGGACAGTTTATGTGCACTTCTCTTGAAACAATAGGACAAAAAAAAAAAAGACCATTGTCTTAGGACTAAGAAAACTGTTGTTTAGTATGTACTTGGAAGTGATGCCTGGAGTTGAATCTACACAGTGGCATTTTAATGTGGCCTTGGGCAGCTCAGTAGTAATCGGAATCCTCTATTTTATCACATTTATATCATCACAGTTCTTAACTTAATATATGAACTGAGAATTGAAATTTACGTGGAAATAAATTGCCTACCTCAGAATTGGCACTCAGTAGTTTCTAGCTATAATGATAACTTTTACTTTTATTTACTAGCAGTAACATATAGCCTAACTACACTAACCTATATGAAATATTAGTAATGCAGATATTTGTTTGGTTTTAGGATTATAATAGCAAAATCATTGTGGAGCTAGATGCTTGGGTTTAAAACTTAATTTGGCCCTTTGCCAACTGTGCAACTCTGGGTGAGTTACATAAACTCACTGAGCCTCAATTCCCTCATTTGTTAACTGGATATACGAATACCTGCTTTTCAGAATTATTAGGCAGTTAAAATATGAAAGTTCTAATGCATTGCCTGGCACAAAGTAAATGCCTCTAACTCAATATTACTAATATAATTATCATCATCATTGCTGCATTGTAAACTTTTAATTAGATATGCTTCATTATATAATTTACATGATAATTCAGGAATATTATAGTTAATAGCAGAAAGTAATTCACATAAACACTCAGATCTTTAAACATCGAATCTCTTATGTGGTTTTAGTCAAACGTATAAATTAGATATCAAATGTACCAAATAAATGTGTACCTAATTATATATCAATGAAAAATCCTATAAAGAAATATAATTTGTGTAAACAGTGATAGTTTTTGGAATATTCAATAGTACAAATTCATTCTAATCTAGCAATACCATATATCATTCATTCATTCATTCATTAAATAGATGTATTGCATGCTTACTATGTGCCAAACACCCTTCTAGATATTCAATATAATAGTGAGCAAAACCACTGCCTTCTTGAAATTTATATTTTTGTGGTGGTGAGGAGCAGGCAATGAATGGAGAAGTAGATTAATTTATGATCATAATAATTTGCCTAAAAAGTAAACCTAGATTGTGGAATAGAGAAGGATTAGTGGTCGAGCAGAGTTTGGAAGTAGGGGGAGGCTATTTTAGAAAAACTTGAATTAAAGGACATTTGTGATAAATTATATTTAATCTGAAAGTTCTGAATCATAAGAAAAGGCAACCGTTTAAAAAAAAAATCTTATGGAGGCACATTCTAATCAGAGGGAATACCTCCTGCAAAAATCCTAAGGCTAACAGGGAAGAGAAAGAGGCCTGTCTGCCTGAAGGGAGTAAAATAAAGTAAATGACCTGAGATGAGTTTGAGAGGGGGGGCAGATGTTTGTTAACATAGAAGTTTTGTTGCTATCATAGGAGGTTTTATTCTAAGTGAAATGGAAAAGCCATTAAAAAGTTTAAAACTAAGGACTGTAATGATTTTAAATTAGACTGCAAGGAGGTCTCCATGTAGAAAATTATATCAGAATGAGAGAGCTAGATGGTACTTTGGAAGTAACATAGTCCGTACTTCATTTTGATCAGAAAACTGAAATAACCAGATAGGTTGAATAATTTAGCCATATCACAGTCAAAGGCTTCACTTTTGGCAGAACCCACAGGATTGAAGATATTTTATCCTATCCCATTTCATTCTAAGTTATTGTGTTCTGTTATATGAATTGTGTGCCATGCATGTGGCCTTCCCCCTTGTCTTTCAATTCCTTTGTCATCTGTTCTCAACACCTCTTCTAATACTATATAGCCACTATTACCTTAAATAGGGAATCTGCAGTCAGTTCATGCTTGCTGCTCTGTTTCTGCCTGGGTTGTTTTGTTTGGTTCAGTCCCTATTTGACCCTCTTCCTTCTCTCCTTGAACAGTTTACCTACCTGGTCAACCACCCGGTCAGATCCTTTATTTTCCCGTGCTGAAAGTAGACTGTCTCAAATCTTAAAATTTTGAAAACAATTCCTAAAATGAGTTGTCCAAAAAATGTGTCCACATTGATTTACATGTTTAAACAATTGGTATAGCCACAAAATCAGTGCACTGTTGTAGCGATATTGAAAATATTAAAAGCTCAGGAAGCCTCTGGCTACAGCAACTAAGGGATTTGGCAGGAAGATTCCATTTCTTTAGATTCCTGCCAGCCAGTCAAGATAGTCTCTTTAGGTCCATTTCACTACCTAGAAAGTAGTGATAGTGCCTTGTTCAGACTTTACCTGTGCTCATCTCGATAGCAAATTTATCTTTATTAGAAGTTACTAGCAGACCTCAGACCTACTTTGACTCTCTTCCTTGTGTGTCTTTTTTTTCTTTTCTGTGTTTTACTTGAAGATGACAGTGCTTTTAAAAAATACTTCCTTCCCCCGTAAACAAAACTTTTTGTTGACACAAAAGAACCAAGGAGAGTGTTTGATAAACAACACCTGACTTTAAAACTCTTTTGGAGATTAAAAATAACAATATAATAAAACTTTATACTAAATCTCTTTTAAAAACCCTCTGGAATTTTATATTTAACCACTTTTCTTTCTTTTTTATTTGTTATGACATTGTACTTTTAGTACTATTGCTTTACAAAACTTAAACATACACTGAGAATAGGAGATACACAAATACATTTGTGTAATCACCAGAGCAGTGATTCCCACACTTGAATGGACATTAGAATCATCTGGCAGACTCATTTAATACACAAACTTCTGAGCCCCAATCCCAGAATTTCTGATTCAGTGAGTCCAGAGTAATGCCTGAAATTTTTCATTTTTAACAAATTCCTGGTGATGCCAGAGAGAAAGTTCCGGAGTGGTTCCAAGGAAGCATACTTTGAGAACCAATGATCCGAGATATTGGCAATGAAATATGTCTGAGCATATCATGGTTAGATTCATGCAAACAGATGAAACGCAAGCTACCATTTTTATAAGGATTATTTCTAAACTCTACCAGTTAGCTTTCTACCTTTTCTCACAGTAGAGAAATGCATCATAATCTCCTTTTCTCATATCTATATTGGTTAATATATTTGGCTCTTTCTTCCCTGAACCTTTTTTAACACTCAAGTGTCTTTTAAAAATAAGAGTATATGAACTCTAAAACTAAAAAAAAGAAGTATTTTATGTTCTGCATCTGTAGATAGTTTCGTGGTATTTTTATAACAAATATAAATTGTAGTTTCATTCATTAGATCCACTGCAAATGTTTCTTCCTCATCTCATGGAGAATTTGAGACTAAACTAACAGAAATCATGACAGAGAAAAGAAATAACTCTCAGGATGATTTACTAAAACTCTCCAAACCTCAGTTTTCTGACTTCTAATACAGAAATAACAAAAGACATCTCAGAAGGTTTTTTAAAGATCCAATAAAGTAGCACATATGAAATGAGAGGCATAGCACACTGCAGCACATAATGTGATGAATGGTTGTTGAAGTTGTTGATAACTCTGTAGTTACTAGTCAAAATATGATTTGTGCATTAACAAACTCCATGCTCAGAAATGCCAAATAACTCATTTATTTAGAATATTGAACTAAAATTTACAATCAATGGAGTTAAAAGCAGTGAAGGCAAACATCGTACAGTCAAAGCAATTTACATTTTCCGTCATACTGCATACTTTTAAGGAACTGTGGGACCAAATCCAAAGGAGCAAGGTGATTACGTTGATGATTATAAAGGCATTTTACAGAGGACCTTGTCCCTATCCTGCCCAAGTACCCCTAATTTCACCATTCCATTGTATAGGGACCCAACTTCCACCTGCCAGAAACTACACTTCTTTACCTGAGTGCTTCCTGTGGCCACTGAATTTCACTTGTATGATAGGCTGCAAGTACTAGGAAATTAACATTTCCCCCAATAGCCTTCAACTAATGATGGGAGACATGTATAAATAATACGGCAGTTTCCTCAACCCTGAATGGAATAACTCCAAGTTGTGTTTCCTAGGACTTTCTAACAGATTAAACTACAGTCACCAACAGCGGTTTCTGGGCTTAATAAATATACCGGTATGATCTTTCTTCCCATTCCTTTTCAGTTCCCCATTCTGCTACCAGTATTTCCTTCACATAGTAAATGCACATAAATTATGTGTGTTTGAAAGCTTATGTCATGGTTGGCTCCTGAAGAAACCTAAACTATAGATACATAGATTCTCTCTCTCTCTCTCTCTCTCTCTCTCTCTCTCTCTCTCTCTCTCTCTCTCTCTCTCACTCTCTCTCTCTCACACTCACATACGTGAAATGTGTGTGTGTGTGTGTGTGTGTGTGTGTGTGTGTGTGTGTGTGTCTAAAATACATGCACACCTTATAAGTTAAGGAGTCCACATGTCCTCCATCCAAAGACCACCGCAACTCTCCTAGAGTCCGATAGTTGCACAAGATGGGTTTATTGCTTTTTTGCAGTGATGGGAAATGCACAACTAGGGAACGATGGGGTGTATGAGTAGGGGAAAAAACAGAATTTGGGTTTCTGTTAAAGGATTTAAGGAAGGATTTAAGAGCTTTGCCTTAAGTTGCTTGTCTTCAATGAGTAAGGACAGCTCTATGATAAGGTGTTTTATCTTGTCTAGAAGGAGAGACTGGAGTGAGGCAGAAAATGTAAAGGTTAAAGAAACAGTATTAATCCATATTAACCAGGATAAAGGAGTATTTGATATTTTGTGGTTTGGGTAATGATGATGTTTCTGTCTGTATTCAGACATGATTATGGAGTGAACTTGTTATGATTTTGATCCATCATGGTAACAAAGTTGCATTGTTTAATGCTGAAATTCTGTAAAATAGTTTAATTTCTTTATTTTTTTATATTTATTTTAAAGATGTGGGTACAATTCAGAGTTAGGTACATAAATGGTCATTATACAGGTAAAGTTTGGGTTTATTTTCCACAGAAGACCAAGGCATAACTGTGAATGTCAGGCCAGTTCCTGATACAAGGAGCTACTTTTTACTTTCTCTTTTTCTTGTGTGTTTTCAATAACTACAGAAAACTTTCTTTCATCCCAATATACTCCCAAGTACAGCATTAAGAGGAACTTTCTATGTTAGGTATCTTTTCATTTGATTAATGATATTTGTGCTGGTTTTAACATTCATTCACCTGAGTAATTTATAAATGATTTACATTCTAGACTGATAAATATTTTTGAACCTGGCTAGTATTGAAATATTTGTTTCTTGCCTTTTTCAAACTGTATTTATATAGCAATATACATATTTGGCCACAAATCCACACTCACATACAGAGTACTTCCCAATCTATTCTTATTAAAGAGCTATTATATTCTTATTATAATGTTTTTCTTCCAAATTTCCAACTAAACCTAAATTGATGGAAGAGATTAGAGTAAGTATTGGATTTATTTTGCTAATCTTTTCCTAACAGGGTTGTTTGCTGTGAGGAAGAAAATATATGATACATAGGAATGCATTGTGGAAGTAAAGTCGTTGCCTTACTATTAAGAGAGCTTTTTTGTTGTTGTTGTTTGTTTTGTTTTCAGAGAGCCAAAGAAGAAGCCCAGCAAAAAGAAGCAAAAGTGAAACTACTTACTGAGTCCGTAAATAGTGTCATTGCTCAAGCCCCACCTGTAGCACAAGAAGCCTTAAAAAAGGAACTTGACACACTAACCACAAATTATCAGTGGCTCTGCACTAGGCTGAATGGGAAATGCAAGACTTTGGAAGTTAGTTGGTTTTCTTGTTCTTTATCAATTACATGTCAATGTATGGCCATACGTGAAATATATTCTTAAACCAGTATTCTAGTGTAAAACTACTTGGGCTTGAATTTCTCACTCATGTTCTTATAAGTTGTATGACTTTAAACCAGTTGCTTAACTTGTATAAGCCTGTTTCCAATTTGTAAAATGAACATAAAAATAATAACTGATTTATAGAGTTGTTGAGAAAATTAAATAAGTTATTCTATTTAAAGTACTTAGCTGCTAATTCTTCTTATCACTACTACTATTATTATTAGGTCACAGAAATCCTAAACATATATTTTCTCTAGATTTACAGACATCGGTCTGTGTTATTTTCATATATTTTAATGTACATAAACTTACTGAAGTATCTTGCTGGGAAAGTATTCTGTGTGGAGAAGTACATTTACATTGTAATTACTCTTAATAATGGCTGCGCCCTGTAGGTTTTTTTTTGGAAGTCGTGTTGCCCAATCAGCTCTTTTTTTTTTTTCTTTTTTGACCTTTTACATTATGTTTATTCATTGTCACCAGCCTTGCTTTATTTTCCCCATATTCCTTACAGTCTAGCTTATGCTTATCTGAATATAAAGATTTCAGATGCCTCCAATAAATACTATGTAATTGCCTCAAAAATAAATTGTGATCCTCCTTGTGAAAATACTATGCCAGTCAGGTTCAGTGGCTCAGCCTGTAATGCCGCGCCTTTGGGAGGCTGAGGTGAATGGATTGCCTGAGCCCGCGGGTTCGAGACCCGCCTGGGCAGGCGAGACCTCATCTCTACAATAAATCAAAAAATCAGCCGGGCGTGGTAGCGCGCGCCTGTAATTCCGGCTACTCGGAAGGCGGAGGCGGAAGGATCGCCGGAGCCCAGCAGGTCGAGGCTGCGGTGGCCGGGAGCGGCCACTGCACTCCAGTCTGGGCGACAGAGTGAGACTCCAACTCAAAAAAAAAAAAAAGAAAAGAAAAGAAAATACTATGCCAAGGAGCACAAACTATATTCACTACCATGCTGAATTTGAGTTGGGCTTTAAATTAAGTCCCCTTCCCCCACAAAGACTGAGCTATCTTTGTGAATATAGTTGGTAAAGAATTCAGATGCCCCATATTTTCAAGAACATTATTGTTTAATTAGCTTCATTTATTGAATATTTGATATTTAAAGGCAGATACTATTCAGACCAGTAAAGTAGACCTTTTAAAATATTTTAAAATGTATTTTTACCTAAACTACCCCAGATATTTATGATAATTTTCTCGTTACAAAATACATTCTATAAGTTTCTCTTTGATCAGTTCTAACATCTTCTTTATTTACCGATTCTTGTTAATTTTAATAGAAATTCATTCCTCAAACACTTGGCAAGTCCCTTCTATATGCCAGAAACTCTTAGTTTCTGAAAATATAAAGGCACTTTTTATGTATCAGTGCTTTGTTTTCTGTAGAAAAATAAAAGAAAGAAAAGGGAAGAGATGTGATGGTACAACCACTTCACTATCATGATACATGAGGGAGAGAATTTTTGTATCCAGAAAATTGTTTTCTAAAAATATTTCAATAAAACACCTAAATATTTTTTTTATTTTTATTCTTAATGTCTTTACATAAATGTTATTCCTTCGTATTATTATTCATGTTATTCATTTAATTGATACTCTGTGATCCATCAAAAATGTATTTTGAAGTGCACATTCGAAAGTGATCTTTTATTTTCATATTAATAACAAAATTTTCAGAACCATTTATTGATTTTTTTCTTCAATTTTCCACTCATCTATAATGACACTTCTAATATTTTCTATTGGTATTGAAATCAAGTTATTTATTTCTGTTTTATTTTTTCCTCACTGGTTTGAAATATATACTTTATCTTAATGGTATATTTCATTATTATCATGCATATATTAACTAACAAAATTCAGCAATATAGTTGTTTCTACACACCTCTGTAACAATAATATGGCAGAAATACTTGCATGGATTAACTCTGAATTTATCTCATCCTTGTCTGATTCTTTCCATATTATTGTTGCCTGGCATTTCATGTGCACCATACTTTTTCTCCCAAATTAAAAATACCATTGCTGCTGCTACTAGTGTTGTAATTATTTTATATAATATTTATTTGGATTTTCCAATGCTATTTTACCAATTTCTATGACCAATTTTGCTTTTCTTCCTTTTCCTTCTGTGTTCAATTTCCTTGTTGCTCTTTCATTGAATGTGATTTGCAGATGAGCTCATATTTTGCATGATTGAAAAATGCCTTTATTTTGCTCTGAGTATTGGATAATGCCTACTTGAGAATCTAATTATATAGGGACAGTTATTTTTCACAACACTGAAACTCTTACTCCTTTGTCTTCTGAAATTTCTTGCTCTTAAAAAAGCTGCTGTTAAATTATTGTTCCTTTATATTTTTCTCTGTTCCTTTTAATTTTCTCTGTCTTCAATGGTCTTTAATGTTTCTCTATTTTGTCTATGTGTAAACTTGATTTCATTTATACTTTGTCACCTGGTGTATTAATGAGAACAGATAAATTATTTCTTTCTTTAGTGGTTCTTCATTATCTTTGTGAAAATTATCTTTTTTATAATCTCTCCATTTTTTTTTCCTGGAGGAAACTTTTATTAGATATATGAAGACAATCTCATCCTATATTCTAATTATTGGCTTGCTTTAATATTCCATACATTCATATTTTTATCTGTTTGAATCTGAGTAATTTTTCAAAATCTATCTGAAAGTTCTCATATTATCTCTTCAACTGCCTATGGCATAATTTACCCTCAATCAATAAATATTCTCTTCTCTATCTGTATACACATTTATTTATATGTGTTTGCATGTTTATATTTTTTCAAGTACCATATTTTCTACTTCTCAAGACTTCATTTAGTTCTTTTGCAAATTTATTATTTTTATGATCATCTGCTCTTTTGTAATTAATTATATTTCTTCTTTTGGTTAGATAATCTAAACATAGTCAGTCTGCTTGATTGAGAAGCTTCAAGTTACTGAGTAATAAATACAAAACAGTTTTATTTTTCCAATAACTACAACCAACCATTTCAAACTCTACTTTTTGCCTGATAGTTGGCTTTTTAAATAGTATTTCTGCCTAATCTCATAACTTTATATTCACTCTTAGTTATTAAAATTTTGTCTAATTTAAATTTCGATCTCATACTTTATTTGAATAATCCACCAGTTTAGATTAATTTTGTGACTTCAGAACTCTATATAGAGGTGAGAGTGAGAAGAAGTGGCTTTACAGTACAGTCCCCTCCTCTCACACAATTTCTGGATACTGAAGTTTTAATGTTGGGAATAAGGGAAGATAAAAAGGGAAATACCGTTTTCATGTGAATATTTTTTTCTTGGTTGGCCATAATTGCTATTCCATTTTGTTAATGCCTACATACTTCTGAAATGACTAGGCTGTTTTTCCTTTTCTATATGATATCGCCACTGATCTGGTTTGCTCTCTATAGAGTTGGTGTTGGCTGTTGGAAATACAGATCGGCCTTATTCATATAAACTTTTAACCCCTTCCCCAAAATTTTCTAGGCATTCATGGTACCTTATAATATTTAACAATAATTTCAAGCAGAATCTTGCCAATAACCATAAACCACATGCCCTTGAAGAGTACATCTTTTTGAACAATGCTTCAGTGATTCCCTGAAGTCTTATTTACCCACCACATATCAACTCAGAGCCTACAGACACTAGAAGAGCCCATCTTCTATTCCTTTTAGGAATGAGAAACTTGAAAGTATGAATGCTATCTGCCAATCTCAAGAAAATAAACTCTACTGGCATTAAATACGACCAGGCTAGGCATATTTACCTTAAATTTTTCTAAAATTGTTCTGTTATCTCTGTGTCATAAGGTGTGAGTTCTGGCATTTGTTGCATCTAATGACTGCCTCTAATGGCAGTGACTTTCCTATATGGTTTATGTTTTTTGTTTGTGTGCTCACCTATAGTAGAAATTGCCTTTCCTGGAAATCCCTTCTGCTCTGAACTGTTGGAGGGCCCTTATAAGTCTTTGCATTTGTCTCCACCAATATCCTAAATATGTTATGCTCTGTTCTATGTGTGATATAAAATTAAAATTCATTTCTTATAGTATTATGATAATTGAACAATTATCATAATACTATAAGAAAGGGATTGGCAGTTGAGGGAAATTGTTAGGGGAGAGAGGGCACACATCATCAACAAGGGTACCTGCATAATCACCTTTGTACACCTAACCCTGAATTGCAACCCACACTTTTAAAATTAAAAAAAAATAAAAGTAAATTCAATTTCTTATAGGTGGATCTTTATTTTGCAACCAAAAATCAAATATTTATATATCAGCTTCCTTGCTAATTCCCTCCTTTCCAATTGGTAGGGATTTTCCACTTCTTGTTTCCAGGATGGATGACCCACCATTTTATTCCTTTCCATTTCCCTGGCATGTGCAAAACCAATGCCTCATTTTCCATTTCTATTTAGTATCAAATACTCCATCTTCTTATGTCACATTCCCTGTCTGATATGCCAGTATCTTTTTAAACTTGGTTTCTCTCTCTCTACTTGCATTTTCTTTTTTTCCCCAACATTCAAGGTTTTTAACACATGTTTTATAAATCAGCTATGAATCAAAAAAATGTTTCTTTTATATCTTAATCAGCATTTTTAAATGACTGAAATAGAGGAGGGGCTTTACCTCATCAGTCCCATCTATTTTAAACAGGTTTATTTTTTCATTTGTACTCTCCTTCAAAGCCACTTTGAATTCTATGATTTCAACATAATTTTAAGTTCCAAACTGTTAAGCTTAACAGTTATTCTAAGTGGCTTTTAGCTCCAATTCAGGCTTCAAGACTATATTTTATTTTGTAAAGGTGACCTGTAAAGCTGGTACATTCAGCCTCTCCAGCTGTGTCCTTCAGATGCATTGAGGACAGAAGAGGCTATCCATTCTGATGGTTAAATCAGCAAGGTAGTTCATTACTTCAATCTGCACCAAAGTTAATAAGACACATTACCAATTGCGTCCCCTTATCTTCAAAGCTCTAAGGTACCCTCGGGTATTTAAGAAGATATTTATATTTTCCCACTGGGATCTTTGCCCAGAATTCAGACAGCCTGTAGTCCAGCAGGAGCTGGAAATGACCCAGATTTAAGATTTCTACCACGCTTTAAAGCAAAATACTTAATTTCACTTTTTGTGATAAACTGTACATAAGACACCAAGCAACTATAAAAGCTTGGTATGTTTAAAAGGCAGGTTACACTGATACTTTTCATCAGGTAGAGATAGAATCCTACCCTCCATCATTTTTAAGGCTATGAACAAAGGAGAAATATGGCAAATTTGACAGATTTTTAGCATCTTCTAAAATAAAGCTTCCTCTCTAGGCTTTACTTTTGGTGGTAGTTGGTGGGGGTAGGGGAAGGTGGAAACAGGTGGTGGTGATTGCACCACTGTATTCTCTGTATTTATATATTTGCACAATACTTACAATTTCAAAGTTGGTAGAAAATGACCAGTTTTATATTCTTATCCTTTCTGTCATCTTTCTGGCTTTTACCAGACAGACATAATCACAGTCTAGAAACTTATCTTTCTTGTTCCTTTGCTTTAAAGAATAATTATACACATATGAATCAAAAACAATATATTGTCCAGTTTTATTTGTTTTAAATATTTCAAAAAATTTGTACCCTTGTAGTATATAGTTTTCCCTAGTTTGCTTTTTTTGCCCAGCATTTTTGTGTTTGAGTTTCATCTATTATTCAGTCTGATACATTTTTTCATTGCTAATTCTGTATTCGTTGTTTAAAAGTGACTTAGCGTATTTATCTATTTTCCTTCTGGTGAACATTATGGCTGTTTTCTTTTTTCTGTTTTGATTTTTCCAAAAAGTGCTGAAGTGATCATTCCTGTTATTGTCTTTGTCATCCATGCAAAACAGTTTATTTGAGAATGTATAGCAAAAGTTAGAGTCGTTGTATTGTCAGATATGTCAATGTTTACCTTACTGAGAATGACAAATTGTTTTCCAAAATTGTCTTTCTAGTATATACACACACCAACAATAAATACAAAATTTTTGATGATGTTTATCTTCTCTCATACATGGAACTGTCAAACATCTCATTTTTCAACATGGCATATCATTTTAATCCTGGCTTACATCCCCTTAGTTACTAATGAGGTTACACATATATTCATCTTCATTGTACATCTACATTGCTTCTTGAAATTCTGGTTCAAGTCTTCCTTTCATTTTCTATTGGGTTATGTGTTTACCTTTTAATTGACTTGGTATTTTTTCATATTTTATTCATTAATTATAAAGGTGATTTTTTAAATTATGAAGATTTTTAAAAACATTTTGTGGTGTCTTGAGGAATACAAGGCATTAATTTTAATGCAGTCAAATTTAATCATCGCTTTTCTTATGGTCAGTTTTTTGCAAAACGATTTATTTAAGATATTCTTCTCTATTCCAAGGTCAAATTTTCTTCTAACAATCTTAGAAGTTTTGCTTTTTCATATATGAGTGTATATGTATATATATATATATATATATATATATATATGAATAAGTCTCACTATATACATCAAGACCACTTAAAAATCAAACCTTTGAAATAGATGTAATATTTTTGATAATACTTCAAGGACATAATAAGAAATGTAGAAAAAGAATCCATGATGTTCACCACAAATGTATAATAGCAAACAAAATTTTAAAAGTCTAACTATCCAATAAATGTACATTTTTAGGGAAACAGATTTAGCCACTTAAATTAAATCTTAGGTTTTCATTAAAAATATGCTTTCTTAGTTACATGGAAAAATTATATAATACAATGTTTCGCCAAAAGAGAGCTATAGTCAAATACACAGTTTAATTTTAACTGTGAAATTATTTATACATTATAAAGTTAAGAGGTGGTCATGGTAATAGTTGATGTGTGGAGAAGGTAGGTTTATATATGCACTTTTTACATGTGACTTTATTTTTCTATTTACCAGACAGCAATGTTGGTGAATATTTTTATTTAAAATAGTAAACCACTAGATCTTAAATTTATTCATTATTCATTGAATAAAATATTTCCTTAATTATTTGTAATTATAGAGGTATTAGATAATCAAAATGACTATTTGACTTTTAAATTATCTACTGAAAAGGAAAGGTAAAATATATAAAATACAATGTTATATTTTCAGAAGTTTAAAAATGGAATGACAAAGTCTCATTCACTCTTCTAGCATAATATCTAATCTGTGATATCCATTTCTTTCTTAGGAAGTTTGGGCATGTTGGCATGAGTTATTGTCATACTTGGAGAAGGCAAACAAGTGGCTCAATGAAGTAGAATTCAAACTTAAAACCACTGAAAATGTTCCTGCTGGTGCTGAGGAAATCTCTGAGGTGCTAGATGTAAGTTGAGAATTAAACTAAATGATAATTTATATGCAATATTGAAAGAGGTCAAGTATCAAATAAAAATAAATTCAAAGAACACTGTGCAGGAGAATGTAGTTACTACTATGTATCACTCAGCACTAGCACTTTGGACAAAACCTTCATTCCCTCAAAGAACCTTCCAGGTCTCAAGGTTTTAAAAAGTATTTAAATAAACTATCACAGAGGACATTTGCCTTTTGTCATATCACTAAGTTCTATAGATATTTTACCTTCTTAAATCTACCGGAAATCTGCAAAGACAGTTTGAATGCACAATTTTGTTCCTGTAGAGTACAGTTAAACTGATTGATAACATGAGACATTATTTCTTATTTAAAAAATAATTTTTTTTTTTTTGAGTGGAGTCTCACTCGGTTGCCCAGACTGGAGTGCAGTGGCCGCTCCTGGCCACCGCAGCCTCGACCTGCTGGGCTCCAGCGATCCTTCCGCCTCAGCCTTCCGAGTAGCCGGAATTATAGGCATGTGCTACCACACCTGGCTGATGTCTTGATATATTGTAGAGATGAAGTCTCGCTGCCCAGGCGAGTCTCGAACCCGCGGGCTCAGGCAATCCACTCACCTCAGCCTCCCAAAGGCGCGGGATTACAGACTGAGCCATCAAGCCCGGCTTGATCTTTTTTCTTTTTCTTTTTTTCTCATTATGTTTTTGCAGTTAAAAATAATTAACGATCATACTTTGATACAACCTCCTTAGAATATGGTGCAGTAGAATGAAAGATATACTAACCACTTGTAGATCTTTAGATTCAAGGAAACTTAAGGGCTTGATGTTTGAATGTTGTGGAATTTAGCTTCCTTTCCCCAAAAGAAATTGGGAAAACTTCAAGTTTAAATAACCTTATGATACT